GATTCTCACCTCACAGGAACATATTGGGGAATATAAAAGCAATTCTCGTGGAATGAATCATGCAAAGCTCACTGTCCAGAAGAACGGGTTGCTCCCTTGGGACGATTACCTTACAGAATAGTGATTCGAAAAGAACCGCCTCTACCAATTCAAACTGACACTCTTCGTTGACAGGAATGGGAGGGGGGTCAACCACCAAGCGTTTCAGTGAACCGAGGCGAAGGTAGATAGAAAGAAAAAATGACACAAGAATGGGGGCTTTAGCCGCTGATCAATAACTTCTTGAGATACGCTAAGCATTCCACTTCTATGCAAAACCTGGTGATACATTGGACGTAGTATGGCCTATACAATGACTTGTGATGACCACCCAAAGTAGAAGTTAATTGTTGTATCCTCTCAGACAAGCCCGGGGAGTTTACCTGCCTCTGATGGGAGGAAAGCTTGGTTAGCGTGAGCCAAGCCCGTTACATGGCCTATGGGTTAGCGCGGTAAGCGAACCATGGCACTAACTCCGCCAAAGTACAAAACACTGCAGAAGGAAAAATTGGCATCAACTCAGAGTTACGAAAGAACAGTACCTGAATGTCCAGTTTGAACTGGGTAGCAAACTGCTCGGCTTGATCAAGCTGATTCCTGCTTATAAGCCTCTGCAGCTTCATGTCTGGTTGAGCCTCCACTATTTCGCGCACTTTTACCGTGTCGCTGTCATGTCTTAAGCAATAGAATTTCAAGTTGAAGCAAGTTCTTGAAGAAAGCTGACAATTCAAGTATACTATCTACAAACATTGCGAGCACTGCCGTTTCTTTCGTTGTGAGAGAAATCGTTAAAGGCAGTTGGCACGATAAATCCCCCAAGGCGACTAGGATCAATACTCCTGGCAGGATAGAATTCCGCGACCCTGGGCAGGCGCTGCATAGCGGTTTCCCCGAGGAAGGTGCCCTTATAAGGGCCCTATCAAGCCACAACTTTACGTCCCAAACGCCCGCCCGCCCACAAATGGACGACCGTTCCTGACGCTCGTATTCATTCATTTGCTAAGCAAATGAAGCGAAGGGATTGGTATGAAGCGGCCGCGGTGCTGCATGGATATATGAGTACACATATGCAGCCGTATCTTCGGTAGCGGTGATTGGCAAGATGCGTACGGGAAACTCGTCCGAAATCGATTTACAAGTCACTGAGAACGGAGGCTTTTTCTTCGCATTTTGACCGTTTCACTCCGTTCTTTCGCCATTTCCCCACTATACAGCGCCCTACTAGCATTTTAGGCTAAGTAGGAAACCATCGTGCCAACTGCCTTTAAGAAAAATAACACCTGTAAAAACTGATATCTCTAGGGGTAAGAAACTGACACAATATTGGATGAGAACGATTCTACAAGTAGAATTGCACGATCTGCTGTTTCGGATACTGGTAACAGCGTGGTTTTCTCGTTCACAGCCACGCAATACACTGTTTCCAAAGAAGGCATCGAACGGACTTGCATCTATAAAATATATTTTGATACTTTCTTCTGCTATACCACATTACAAACGCTAGGGAGAAAGATAAGACCTACTTCCACGCGGTTCTCCGTTCTGACAATAAGTGCAATAGTTCCCACATTCGGACCTATTTTTGGCTTATTGACAAACATGAAATCGGCGAAAAGTTCATCCTGAAAAGGGTTGATTGCTTGAGTAAAACTATTCTCCAGTAAAACATAGCTAAGTATCTATTTTATACGTTAATGCATTTTATATGGTATGGAAAACTCTTCCCACCGATTTGACTTTCAATTTGCCATCCGTATCACTTAGGCCTCGCCGCACTCTACCAATGTGGAGCATAAAGGGTGGGGCAGGTCAGTTAAATGGGAAATAAGGAGTTTAGAGAATTTGCGACTCAGGGAAACAATCCAGTAGAGCCCCCCCCCCCTTCTCAGGAATCGCGAATACTCTGAAAACAGTAACGAACACAGGCAATAAATTACATCCAATCATTTTTATTGATTTTCCAAAATCGCGATGCTTTTGAGCTGTAGATCTTCCAGATCGACACACGTACTTTCTTTTCCGCTCATGCTCATCGAACGCGTTCTCCATATTCGGAGATTAAGCAACAAGCGTCAGATGATAACCACCAACGCAGCAACCAAGCACATGGGGGAAAAGTAAGAGCGAAGGCGCCACTTCTGAAGGTTCTTTCCAGAGTAACAACCATTTGAATTTTCTGCTGATAAGAGTCATGCGAGTTAGGCAGTTCGTGAAGTAAGCGTTTCAGCTATTCTACAGTATTACAAATGGTAGATATACAAACCTTGCTCTTACGAAGATTCTTCTGCAGAACAGTGGAGAAAGTCCAGAGATCAGTAACTATGAAATTTCCGTCGAGAGTGAGTCCCATCAGGAAGCGATTGTCGCAACAAGGGCGAGTTCTTACGTATGTCATAGCTGAAACGATCCTTTCAAAAAATGCTCCCGTAACGACATAAAACTACCTGTATAGGCATCGCCGAGAGCCTCAGCGGTAGAACTTCCTAACTGACAAATTTGTAATGGCAATTGCTGTGCAGGAGCCTATAAAATCGGTTCCGAGAAAAAGAGCAGACTAACTTTTGCTGATAACATGCAACTCATGTCAGGATTTAAAGCTCACCTGCACTAGTAGACTACCCGTATAGACGATATTACTCAATGCCCATTTGCTCACTGATTCTGTGATTTTTGCATTTGCTAGAGACTGAAAAGGTACTTCTTCTGAGCAAATGTTCAGCAGCATAATGCTGCACAGCACTGTAAATGAAGCATCTCTAAGATTTAGTAGGGCTAGTTGAACACAGGTGTCATAGAGGTATCACACGGGACTACGTCGGGAGAGGGAGAACTCCAACAAACATCCAAGCGAAAGATGGAAGTGATTCACATCAGATTTCTAGGAATTTTTTTTTCATAATCGTAGGTAACTTTTGATACCCAGCGCTGAGCTGGAGAATAGGAAAATCCTGGATTGGAGGATCTACAAAAGCGCTAGACAGGAGTCGATTTCGTCAAGTGTTAACATGGGCCGAGTAAACGTGATTTTTCCCAAAACGACAAGATTGCAGTTTTCATACAACCCACGGGAACAAACAAAGCGATCAATTTTCATCTAATACTCGCGGATTCCGACGATGCCTTTCCGGACTAATACCTATACATTCCTTTCCGCTGAGTCTCTGATTCTTTAAGGGCGCTGCGTATGATCGAGGCTTAGAACTGTTATAGGTGTAGAGACTCCACGACACAAGATGACAATCGCCGCCTTTAACACTTAAGTGAGAAGCGAGCAAAATTGAGCTGTCTTTATTTTTTGGAACTCTCATTTCTTTTGTATCAGCTGAGCAGACTTGTGCCATTTCCTGCATGGAATGTTCCAACCAGGGCACGTCGTACGTTCGGGATAACTAGCGACGGGAGGGGAGGGGTGAAGGGGGCTTATTTGGTCGCTGAAGTGATGGTCGCTGAAGGGAAAGAAGAACTATTTAACCCACAGAACATTTTTTGGGCTGCTGGCTTGTATTGCGTTCTCCTGTTTCAAGTGCGCTACACCCCTCCCTCCCCCCCCCCTTTCGACTGCAGTTCTTTGGAAAAAAGCTCCGGAAAACTGAGAAAGGGAGGGGGAAGTTAGGAGCATTTAGGAAGATGGTAGGTAGAATGGCGACTGGGAGTCACAACATATGAAGGAATTTGGGATGGAGAGGGGGAGGGACACTTTCCGAAAAATTCCCCAACGGCAGGTTGTGCCTTAGGTCCAACATTCTATCAGAATTATGCGCATTATTCCTATAATAAGCGATCAAATAGTGAAAAGTAGAACCAAGAAAGTAACTTACTTCTCTGCAGCAGGCCAACAGATTGTCCCTCGGTGGTCCTGCTAGCACATTCCAATCAGGAATTTGAAACGTCAGAATCTGCCCATCTTCCTGAGCAACGGCGAGACAGCACATGTCGTTTACAACATCCGAAGAAAGGAAAGCACGTTTGCACGGTGTTGAAGAAGACATGTTCTGTTATCAATCTCATTAAAGATTCAGAAAGATCACAAAGAAGGGGTCTAAAGAGCTCACCAAAGTTGTGAGAACCGTTCGCAATTCGGCCGACAACAAGACGACATCCATAGAAGACGAAACAACTGCCAAGATATGACTATCTCCCAGCCATCCGATGCCGCAAATATTGTAGCCAGCTTAATCATGGTGCATTTGTCCATATAGTACAGAGTCGTAAAAATTAAAGTGATGGGCTTCATCGAGCTCACAGCTTCAACTATTAGGTTGGTGCATAAGTTCTTTCCCCCGACTTTTTTGTAAATATCTCAATAGCGAACCAGCCTGAAGATTAGAGGTATGCACCATCACCATCCACTACTCGACGCCAACGCTCAGGCAGCTTGTCGGTTCCATCGTTCCAGAAGGAGGGGCTGGGACCCGAAGAAGGCCACAATGCCGCACAATCACCACTGTGACATGGTTTTGCACTGGTAATTGTGCGGCATTGTAGCCTGCAAATGCAGGGTGGGCGAGTGATAGCTAGTGTGGTGAAAGAGTATCATGTACACGTCACGCACACGTGATGACGAAATACCAACATCCATGCAAACGAAATACGGAAGGATCAAAACAGGGGGAGGGGGGGGGAACTTATGCAACAATCTTGACACCCAGAACGCCCGTGGAGAATTCGCTGAAAAGACTATGTAGGTATTGACTGATCAGGCCTGGCGAGACGTGGTGAGCGTTGGGATCCCCAGTGAGGTAGGAGACGTAGATGGTAGTTGGAGGATGGGGTTACCTTCCCTTGTGAGGACGTTTTTGGTTGATGAGTGTTCACGATTTTTCCGTTTCTTGTAGGCAATATACCCTCTCTGCGGTCGACGGTTACGTGTTCTGCAATATATATTTTGTGGAACTGTGAAACAGGAGGTGAAGTACAGAAATCTAGGAAGATGGTAGGACTGACTGGGAATGGGAAAGGGGGGGGGGGGGTCACAACAGAGGACAAAATTTACGTTCTAGCTTTTCAGTTCTTCAAAAAGGCTGAGTCGCCGCGTAGGTTCTGCTTTTCGACATTTCCGGGGACTCGTCGAAAACGTCCAATCTACGGATCTTTTAGCAAGCTTCCCTTCCCATCATGCCCTCCTAAGTAGACGGAAGACGTGAACACCTCACTGAGAGTAAATGACGCCCACAACGTTAGAATGGGGTTTTCTCCATATCCATCATTTTCGGAAAATACAACCTTATCGCCCAAAGAAGTTTCCCATGCACGGCTACACTGAGTATTACCGAAAGTAAAACTTCTCATTTTTGAATGGCTAGAGGCTTTTTGGCGTTGGATCTGTTTGTAGTGTGTGTTACTACTAATTGTGAGCATATTGTGGCTGAGTTCTACCTCTGAACGTCGTAAATTCTTTTTTCAGCTGTGTAATTCTGCAGGCCAATGTCTAGCAGAAAGGTTTCCTTTCTAGAAACCAGGTAGACCAGTCAACCACATTTCATGGAAAAACATAAAGTTACCTTTGAATGGCTGTGTGAAGAGGTGTTGCAAATCAAAGCTGATTGAGAAAATGGAAACGTCGTCCCCAACGGCAACTGCTAACCATTTTTCATTGCTTTCTGTGAAAACCGTCGGCGCCGCAAAATCGCTTGTGGGATCTTCGTTCTCGGTGTTATCGAAATCGCCTTCGAATGCAATACTTCACTCATAAGATAATGGATATATACTCAACTACAAAAGTTCAGTCCTTACCAGAGATAGCAGCTAATGTTTTAATTTCATACAGACTGGATAAGCTGACAAATTCATCGCGTTTACCGAAGTTCTTGGTCTCTTCATCACCGAAATCCGTTTCTACCACAGAATACCGCATCTTAACATTGTGGCTAGAAATTCAATACTACGAACTATGACAACAATACCAAATGAAACCGATTTAGAACCCCCATGAACGTGGAATCAAGAAAACTGTCCCTGCAGTCACAAAATTTTTGAAATGGTTCTATTGGCGCGGAAACTGCGGATCCCGATTGGAGCGCGTTAACCGACAGTAAGACAGCACTTTCAGTCCCACAGATCGCTGTAGGTAGGTAAAGAGACCGTGATCTAGGATCTTCAGTAGTCTTTTGCGACTCTTTATAATCGCTTTTAGGTTGTAGCGAAGGTAACTCCTAGTGGAATGAGGCAGTCATTTTTGAGCTCCTGTGATCTAGATCTAGATGTCGTTGGGGGGGGGGGTTGGGTGGATCCACGATCCACATTGCGACCCACACACGCTGCGTAGATGGTGGCCCTGATTGCCCAAAAATGGGTAACGGGCAAGAAAATCGTGATTCTCTCCTGTTCATGCACAAGTTTTCTGGTTGGCGTTTCGATCGCATGGGTAAAGCTAATTTATAGATGGTCATTTATTATTCCATCTATTGAACTATCTATTGTTCTATTAAGCATTTATGAGTCATGATACGTTTACGTGCGTTACGCTTTCAAGTGATGTTCAGCGAATTCAATGATCTCTCGACCGTTGTAAAGGTGCTATTAACTGCAACTATCCAAGGTCGAAAATCGGGAAACTGAACAACTTTTGTGATGTAGTGTTGATCAGCCAGTGGCGCAGACAGAAACGGGTATCATCGGGCACCTATAAAGGCATCTTGAAAGGTGTGTGTGCGACAGTAACCACTACCTGCCGATATGAACAGATTCTTCCTATTTTTGGTGAGTTTTACGGTATTTTCCTGCTATTAGTGTAAATTATAATAATTCTCTAGAATGGAGGTGGAGTGCGTGGCGCATCCTTAAAAAGGGAATCATTCTATTGCCGAATCAGTTGACGCACATATGTACATACGAACGAAGGGGGAGGGAAGATGGGGCTGTAGGAAGAGATCTTGTGGTCTATCTGCCGGTCTAAAAACCGGCGTTATTAGTCGAAGACATTTCTCAGGATTAGCTGATTCCAAGAAATCTCACAATTAGGCCTAGCGAAATTCGTTGCCACTGAACGGTTCCTCGGTTATAAAGGAAGCAAAAGAGACGATCAAGAAATTGCGACGGATTATCCCCACCTCATTCTCAGTTTGATTATTGGGAAAGTAGGACTTCACCATATGACCTGCTGCTGGTGACGGTTGGGAGGGGAGACGGGCAAGAGAATCGTAAACTGCCGCTTCGTCGCCCGATGAGCGCGACGTTTTCTCGATTTGCACTACCCTTTTGATTGGAGCATCGGGTTTCCTGCAGACATGGACATGATAGACACTTATGTCCATTTTTGGTCATACATTATCTGTTTTCGACCAATACCACCCAAAATCGTCGTTATTAGCGTGCGCTACGTCCTTGCAACGCCGCCTGGCGGACGAATTACGATTCTCTTGCCACATACCCGGTGGGAGATCCACCTTGCGGTGACGGGTGAAAGCGTTCCAGTTGACGCCAAGTACGCAACTTTTGCTCTAGGATCTAATTGACCTAATATCCATCTGCTACAGTATATCGTTTCTGTTAGCTAGAATGCTAGCTATTTCGTCGCAACGCAGATCTCCCTACTTGCATCTCACATCTAGTTATGGCATTGAGATGGAGAATGGTGGTCCTTCTGAGTTGACTCCACCACCCCTGTGCGGACTCATTCTACTCATTTCACTTCGATTCACTCGTACAATCCCACCTGTTGCTTCTCATATGTGCTCGCTGTTCTTTGGAGCCACATTTGGCCCTTGAAAGAAAAAAGTCTAACTATTGATTGTCCGCTTTCCACATTTGCTGTATGCCTCCTGCCATCACCCCCTCCCCTCTCCTCAACCTCCCCTCTGAATCGTTGCGCGTCAAATTTGTACCTACTGGATGGGAGTAACCTCGCCTTGTCTAGAGGGTTCTGCATCCGTTCGTGCTCGACTACAAAATGTTGGATATATTTAGTAAGCTGACAAGCTTTTGAGAAGGGAGTTGTACAGAATCCTTTTTTGGGGAGAGGTGGGTGGGGGGGGTTGTACTCGCACCACCGCTTCACCCATCCCAATGACATACTGTGTTCTCAGTAGACTCTTTTAGACTAGATGAGGAAGAACACTGTAAACTGGAACGGTTCAATAATGCATGCCAATGGATGATTTTTCAGGTTCTCTGTCTTGTCGCCCTCGCCTGCGTCCAAGCTCAACGCCGTGAGAAAGTTGAACGAGGTAAGATGGAGGAAGTGATTTCTCATAGGTCTGAATAATCGAAGGTATGCGTGAGCTCAAGAGTGGTTTCTGATGATTTTTCAAAGAGCTTACCTTCTCTACGGTGACTATCCCTGCGATCAAGGGTGGATAGGCTCAAAAATGGAATAGGGGGTCTGTTAAATGAAAAAGCGAAGCCATGTACTCACCTAGGTATTTTCAGTCCCAATGTCCTTCCGTGGAGACATATGTGACAAGGTCTGCAGCAAACGTGATGGCTGGGAACGATGCGAAAAGGAGAAGAAGCGCGGTGATTGGGAGGTAAATTCACATAATTCCGTGTCTGTAGTGTGAGAGTACGATTCAAGGGTTACCAGTTATTTTACGCTGTTTCGAAGGTCAGTTACTGTGCCATTTTAAGGTAACATGCACTGACACTCAGCGCAGCTCAGGACGAGGAGGAAAAGGAGGAAAAGGTGGACGCGGTCGTGATTGAAAGCTGGTGTAAAACATTATGAGACATGTACAATAGTAATAAAAGATTTCACGCTCACTGTACTGTTGAGTTGTAACCATATCAATATTGTAGTCATACAGGATTACCGTAACAGCTTTAGTGAGCTCCTTGCTCCGAAATCTCTAAAAAAATGGGCTTTACGAAACAAAGTGAGTACTGAAAAATGCCTGCTGACCCTTTCTTATGACCTACAGTCTTAATCGTTGCTGATATTGGAAGCGTGTCAGGGGGCCAGGGGGCTGGAATTGGCGTAATTGGCGCAGAACTGACCCCCTTTCTTCCAAATGTGTTGCTTGCTCGCTTCAACATTGCTGGAGAATGAGCCCAAAACTCGGTTCCCTGACACGCCCCTTGATCCGCAGCGGACAAGACTGTAGCTTCATATGAATTAATCTCTATATGAATACCGTATAGTAGTAGCTTCCGAAAAAAGCTCACTCTGAGCTTTGTGTAGTGATTACTCGGAGCAAAGGTGCTAGGAAGTTCAATCCTGATTTCTTCGTCAGGCTAGCTCTCGGCATCTTCAGGATTAAAGGAGCTCACCTTATTGTCTAGACCCAGGCAAACGTTAGAGGCACCAGACATGTCATATAATAGGCGGCGTACGAGTGAGTATAGCCGTTTGACCACCCACGCGTAAGAGGCACCCAATACCCGATTCTGAGCAAAAGCCTAGTGCGTGGCGCAGCTAGAAAAGGAGTGCGTAGACATGCGTGTTTCACATTTTACAGATCTGAAGTCTGGAAATATGTTTCATATTTCGGTGACCAAGAGCACGGAAATACGAGATAAAACCCGATCGTTGTCGAGAAATAAGGTTAAAAATCAGTTGATAAAGGTTTTTTGTTATTTTCCCGCGCAAAAAATTCCCTTCAAATTCTGATATCTTGACTCCTCATTGTAAATGTTGCATACAACGTCAACGCGACACACGGTTCTTCTTTAATTTTTGCAAGAACATTTTTTTTGCTGATATTTATTATATGTACATTATATATGTGAGAAGATCACTAAAACTGCGTATCGATTAATAAAGTTACCAATTGACGAAAATTTTCAGTAAATTCATTGATGAGTGGGCCGAGTCGTAGAGGGCGGAGTCCGGTGTACTGCTAAATAAAAGTGTATTCACGGGTCTATGTGTGTAATAAATGAAAAGTGTGAAACTAGTATAGGTCCAGTATATGGTGTATAATCCGTGTGATGTGTGCGTAAATTGTGTCGCGAAAAAAGGGGTGGGGTTATCTGGGGCGGGACATGTGGTAGGGCCTATTGTGCCATATATACTCGAAATCCCTGAGATCGGGTAGGCGTGGCCGCATGTTTCAACTTAACCTG